AACTCAATATTAAATATAATTAACAAATAATAAAAAATAGAAATAAAAATTATTATTGTAAAAAGTAATTAATAAAATAAAATAAAAATGTAATTATAGTAGAAATGTACGAAATTTAAAAATAGTTACATTAATAGAAATTTAATCTCCTAAGTTAACAGCATCACTAGAATCATCATCGTTATCATCGGAAGGATTCAGAGGCAGATGACCTGGACAGACATACGACACAGGAGGAGTAACTGCTGGGAAAGTCTTGTTGAGGTGCATTTGAGTGACGAAGTCCTGCATCATTCTGACGCTCTCGTATAGCTGGAGGTTTTGCTGGTAATTGTGTTGCAAGTATTCTTCTACGCGTGGGTTTGACGTACCGTAGAAGATCTTACTGAGCGTGAGCCAGATGACAACGCATCCCCTCGATAAACCTTTTGTGGGAGTGTGCAACCCACTCCAGTCTTGTGTCCTCTGCGGGTGCCCAGAAATAATATTTATTATTTCAAATACATATTTAAACAATATTTTATCATTTTAGTTTTTACTCAAGGACAACAGATATCCAACGTCCAATACCACAACCACAAACATCAACTGCAACATCAATAGATCCACAAACACTAGATCCAAAAAAATCAAGCACAAGGTAAGACACATTTATTAATTATATTATTTGTCAATAAAAAACAATATTTATGATTTTAAATACATATCTGAACAACCTTTTATCATTTTAGTTCTCAATCAAAGGAGACAGAGCAATCCAGAAAACATCCAAGAACCAGGTAATATAACTACTTCTAAACGATATAAAAATAAATGTATAAAGATCCAAATAAGTCAAAGTTGATGTTCCCTTCACAATATCATCACGATGATCAATAAATAATTGAAACGACAAGCAAAATTTAGAAAGCAAGAAAGAGGCTCAACAAATGAAGCTATTGCATTTGTTTAGTTAAGATCTCTCTTTATGAAGCCTCTGTTTTACATTTTTCAAAGCCAACTATGGATGCAAACATCAATTTGGTAGAAGCAACATTCAAATATAATGGCCCACAAACCATGACAAGCAAATATAGTATATAGTATAGTAAATTTCAATCTAATTACCACAAATTTCAATTTCAATTCTAATTTACAATTCACAATTCTAAATCTAAAACCACAAACTAAATTCAAAATCCAAAACAAAACCACAAACCACAACCAAAATACCAAAATCAATTTATAAAATATGAAAATATTAACTCACAAAATCCAAACCCACAAACACCGGGGGTTGGAAAACGGTATGGCAGCAGGGCTGGGAGGGCGATGGCTGCCGGAAATTGACGACGACGGCCGGCAAAATGGGCGGCGATGGCGAGGTGAAAACTCCATATTTTTTTTGAACTTTTTCGGAATACTTTTCTCCACAAATGAAGGATTTGAAGACAAAATGATATATTTACGCTGTTGAAGAGAAATCATGACAATCTTTTTCACTATTTTCTCTCATCTTGGCCGGCCATGTTAGGAGGTTTTAGTAAAAGTTTTGGTTACTTGAGTGTGCTAGAAGATTTCATGATGAGAAGTGATGTGATGGTAGTGGTTGAAGAGAAATCATGGCATACTTACCATTTCTTTTCTCCCACCTAGACCGGCCATGCTTAAGGGATTTGAACCCAAAAATTTAGTTGATTAATGGAGTTGATTTGGTGCTAAAAATGATTATCAACGTGTCTATAAATAGAGCCATCATAAGCTAGGTCTCACTTTTAATCTATTCTTTTCGTCTCCACACCAAAACCGGATTCCTACCATCACATCACATCTCATCCAACTAAACTCTAACCTACCCATTGTACTTTTGTCCAATCTCTTAAATTTCTCTTGCATAAGATAAAATTTATACTAAATGTAAGGAAGTACTTAGTCGACAGGAAATTTTAGTTTCTGACGGTTCCTTTTCTACTGCTTATTTACAGTTTAATATTAATCCCCGACTACTTCAATATTACATTAAATTCTTACTTGCGTAATATTTTGAACTGTTTCAAGTCTTGAAATTAATTCTAGACTGAACAAATTCTAAATTTAGATTTCTGCATTATATCCCGGGAATGAGATTGTTTTTTACGGTGTCAACTCCCGAGCTCACATCGTACCCTTCTACTATAGGTATTTATCTTGTGACTTCAACCTAGCTGTCTACAATTAAGGATTTTCTCTTCTTTTAAAATGTCAGAGAGTTTTTTTTTTATATGCTGCTAATATCATGCTATGCTTGTATAGTCTTGGAATTAAGATTCTCAAACTACATATGTACTGAAAATTCTTCTGCCTTAAAGTACGGCAAAAATTTATCGATCGAATTTACTTGATCGTAAAACATGAACTTAGCATGAAATCTGCTACAGAATTTAGGAATACATATGTTAATTCCATAAATCATTCAATTAGAAAATATAACATAGTATTTTCTAGGAAAATCCTTGTCTTAAATACATAAATTATATTATTTAAAGTATGGAATTTTCTCAGTCATTACACAAACTGGCGCCATATTAGTTTTAACGCCAATGGCTATTAGCGACAACATGTCATCGTGAATATTATGTCAAATTTTAGCGACAATATATCGTCACAAATAGTGAAAATATACTATTGTTTGTTCATCTTTTAAAATTTTATTATAGAAAGATTTTACAGTTTTACTTACTTTTTCTTTATTTCTTGTTTTTCTGTCCCTCATCTAAACCTGTAAATCAACCTATGAATAAAAAAAACTATTAACTTTTATTTAAAACAGTGAATGTGATGACAAGTCGTTTAAAAATTTTGTTTTCTTTTTAGCGACGACATGTCGTCGCTAATACTCTAATTTTAACAACGATAAATGTCGTCGCTAATAATGTCGTCGCTAATAACCCTTTTTTTTGTAGTGACTATGTCGTCACAAATACGGTATGACACGTCATCATCAACGACATATTCGACATGTTCGACATATTATTAAATTTTCTTCAACTTTATATCTTTATTAATTAATATTATTAGGAAAGTACGGAAAAAAAGAAAATACTATTTACGACGACATATCTAAAGTGTCGTTGCAAATAGTCCACATTACTAGCGACGACGGTTTAGTCGTAAAAGTTTTAAAGACTTTTACGACGACTCTATGTCGTCGCAAATACGGTATGACACGTCATTATCAACGACATATTCGACGGAATATTTGTGACGACTTATTCGAGACGAGAGAGTTGTGTGTATATTGTTAAGATATATTGTTATTTGCTTTCCTTTTTCCTTGAATAAAAACACTTATATATATAAAAAATGTTATAATTACAAATTTCTCTAAAATACAGAGTAATTGATCATATAACAGATAATAATTAAAAGAAACAATAAAGTATTAGCTAGATTGTGTTTGATTGGGTATAATGGATCATGGACGAGAGGAAAGGAAAAAGAACCTTTTGGTTGGATAAAGCATGGAGTACTAATGATTTTTTCGCACCATTTTGGTGACACGCCATATATATGTGGGATGAAAGGAAAGCCCATTCCATCCTTTGATGAAATTCTACGACGGAACCTCTCATAGTTAACCTATTACTTGAGTTTTAGAACCTCTCACATTCCGCGATGAACTAAGTTCTTGTTCTAATGCCGCACAACCCATCCCAAGCCCGCCATTCCACGCATTCTTGGCGAAGCTCCGATCCAAACAAGGAAAAAAGAGAAATCCAATCCGCTCAATAGAAAAAATAGTGAAGAAGTTCACAAAAGAAAAGACATGAGTGATGGGATGACAACATCGTCATTATTGTAATATAGATAAAGCAGGGGGCGAATTAAAAGAATACCGCTTCTAGAAAGTTGAATTTCTACCATTTTTGTGAAAAATTTAAGCCTAATATTTTAATCAAAGTAGTAGTACACATGACTAACTAAACTTCAAAAGTGATAAGCAACCTAATTTACACTTTGAGCAGGTTCTCAAAAATCTTATTATATTCGGGCCACATAAGCGTATTTTCATCTAGATATAGTTTATTAGAAAATTTAAATCGGTATATGCCCTTTCCAGAAGCATTTTTTACACTAAGATTTCTGACACTACTTTCTCTTATCATATATTGACTTGTAAGAAAACTATTCTAGGAGAATAGCATAAAATTAAAGAAATTAATCAATGACGGGAAGATTATCCCTAATTTTCTCCACATATGATTTCTTTGTAAGTTACATATGATCATGTGTTCACCTTTTACACAAATGCTTTATTTTTTTAATAAAAATAATGCACATTTTGTCAAGAATTAATCAAATACTAAAATTTACTAACTAGCGAAGATACTAGAGTTTACTTGCATTTAATTACTTGATCTGTAATGAAGTAAATGTGAAGTTAAAAAAAGAAAACAAAAAATAAAATAGTTGTGGGATCCCATGAACAATTTTAATATACATTGCCCCCTTGGGGACGTAGAATAAATTGAGAAAGGTAGAGAAGATGCCTTTGCGTAAGGATATCACACAAATCACGAAATGGTCCAACTTTTGACTTGCAATACAAAATGTGGAACCCAAGACGATTTCGAATCAACTTAAATTAGAGAAATGCACATAGATATACATATTTAATTTGGTAATTATTTTAAATGTCAAAATCGAGTCTTGACCAAAAAAAAAAAAAAAAAAGTATACCTTTGCCTATTAAATGTAATCTTAAGATACAAATATTTACAACACTTTAAAATTAAGAGTATACTTTTTGAATAAACCCAAAACAGTGATATAAATAGGTAACTAAACCTAACTAATTTCTCCTGGTCATTAGTCCATAGTCCAAGAAGTTAACCATAATTAAGTTGATATACGAGATTTCGTAGAAGAAAAGGAACAGAAGTTGACTTAATTGCCAAACAGTGAAAATAGTCTCTGTTAATTAGCATGCTTCTATAAATTTTTGAAGCTCTTAACGCATTTGTTTTTAACACCTTCTGGTCCTATCTTTTTTCCTGGTTGTAGTTTCAGTTCAAATATCCATGAAGCTCCAAATCTCTTGCTCTTCCCTTAGTGTACCAGCAATTATTCCTCGACATTACAATAGGTTGATACCAATTAATCCCACAATCAAAAATACGAAATCCTACAATTTTTCTTCAAAGTGCTCCACCAATAAATCGATCCTCCCTGTGCAGCTCTATGGTGAAAGGGGATTCTCGAAATTCTTAATACACGGCAAAGATAAGCGCAATTCCATCCGGGTATTACTTTAAATCTTTGCAATTTATGGTAAATTTTTATTATACGTTAAATAAGCAAATTTTTATCCATATGTGTTTGATAAAATTTTGTGACCACGTCTGATGTACATGATGGTTAGTCCATTATCACTCATATGATCTGATTAACTTTTCTTGGTTGATATACCTTTTGAACTTATAAAGTTAATCTAATCATATTGTAAGGGATGCGCTCAAGATGAATTTGCTGATTCGCATCCGGTGCTTGCCGAAGTTAAAGATAAATCAGACGGCCGACATATACTTGCCAAAGTTTTACGTTTTGGATCTTCTTGGTTTAGTTTTACAAGGCCCATTTCAATGTATCAACTTGGTTTAGCAGCCATGTAAGTATAAAGTGCAAGAAATGAACTTCTTATATATTCTTTTAAACCCAGCTGTATTTTCTACGTAGTTTATCAAGTACTTGATATATGCATATCTCTTTTTTATTGAACAGTTGTTTGTATGGAAGAGGATTTGTTGAGAACCCGCACTTGTTTAAATGGTCTTTATTGGTCAAGGCATTCCCGGGTTTAATTGCTGTATTGCTTGCAAACGCTAATTTTATGGGCATCAATCAGATTTACGATGCAGATATTGACAGGTTCGCTTTTCAAGTGTGTGTGTATATATATATATATAGGTATATTAAAGAAGTAGTATTGACGTTTAATTTCTTTACTATTGAAATACTCGAAGTGAGAGTTTAAATTATTACTGATGTAGATCAGTTAAGAAGGAGATAGGAGAGATAATTAATAGAGAAGGAGATAGGAGAGCTAATTTAGAATTTAAAAAGAGTGAAATACGAATATTTAATTAACATCATTAATCAAGTGTAGTCTTAACATAATAAACACATAAAGATGTCTATTTATAGAAAGCTGGATCCTAAAGCAATTCTAATTCAAATCCTAAAGTAAATCTAATTCTTAATATATGTAAATAACTTTAGTAAATTCTAACTGTTTTTCTCATCTTTTAGTTCATCATGCAAAAGCCTTTTTCTGTTTTCATTTATTCATTTCATCATGTAAACGCCAGTAGCTTATTACATGATTACGTTATATTTACAGGGTGAATAAACCTGATTTACCAATACCATCAGGAGAACTTTCGATACGACAAGCTTGGTTTTTGGCGGTATTTGAAGCACTAGCTGGCCTGCTCATTCTCCGATTGATGAATGCCAACCTCATTACTACTGCTCTCTACTGTTTTGGTCTTTTTCTAGGCGCCGCCTATTCTGTTCCTCCCATTCGATTCAAAAGACATTCTGCTACAACATCTGTTGGGCTTGGAATGGTATACTCCGAATTTTTTCAATAATTTTATGAACTGTATTTGGTCCTTGTAAATATAATACCAGTCCGCTAAAAAGTTATCTTGTGCTGGTAATATAGAAAGTTGAATATATACTTTGTGAAGTTACTTCTTATTTCTCTTTAGATCAACTTAAGTAACTATTTTATCCCAAAAAAAGAAAGCCATACTGTTTGTTTGCTTGTTTGTTTCGGCCCTTAAGGCGTTTTTTACTTAGCTTTTTATATATTTCACCTTTTACTTGTTTTTTTACTCTTTTATTTTCTTTTGTTTTATAAATTAATCTAGGGATAGGATTTAATTAGCGTAACTACTTTTATGTTAGTTCCTTATTCTTATCATAAAAGAAAAAAAAAAAAAAAAAAACGACACTTGATTTCTCGTTTAAATTCATCTTTTGCCATGTATAATATAAAGTGGCGACATAACGCTGGAATTCGTTTTCTCATGCATCTTTCTTGGGGAGATCAGAAAAGATGATATTTCGATAATAATAACAAATTATGCAGGTCAGTGCCATTAAACATATCGGTATACTTTATGCCTCCAGAGTTTCTCTTGGACTTCCATTTTGGTGGAGGTACGTCGTTGTCCAATTTCTTGATTTATCCCATCTTTCACTTTGTCCTAATTTCTTTTCGACATATAATCTTAAATAATTAAGCATTTTAAGAAGCTTTTAGAGGTTTGATAAATAAAACCTTTATTATTTGTTTTTGCCATTGATATGATAGCTCGGATATATATATATATATATGACTTGCTACTTGCTAGCTTAAGTAGTAATTAATTATGAGGGCGTCAAATAATGCATAATTAATAAAGAAATTAAAAAATATTGCGTCACTAACGAAGACCTATAAGAATCCAATTAGAAAGAGTCCCTTCTTATCTTGTTGGTCAACTTCAGTTGGTGAAGAGCTTTAATAAGATATTTCTTTTTCTTTTTTTCAATAATTGCCCTGCTTACATCCCTGCTTACATCGCGCATGCACACCCATATGCATCATGTGTATATGTGAGTTTTCTACTTCAATATATATTTTTTTAGGTATTTTTAAGTTGTTAGGATATGTGTAGAGATGTCAAAAGGGCCGTGCCGGGCCGGCACGGCCCTTCTAACCCCAGGCCCATGGCGGGCCTGGGCCGTGCCAGGGCCGGGCCTGAGGAGAAACCCTCAAGCCCAGCACTGACCCTTGGCCCTAGTCCATGAGGGCTAGGGCTGGGCCTGGGCTCAGGCCCTTCACGGGCCGGCCCTGGCCCTTTTAATTTTTTTTTCAATATTTAATTAAAAAAAAGAAAATATATCATATGTCCCTGAAAGATGTGATTTTATTTAATTGAGATAATACAAATAAGTACACATAAATGATCAACTCGTTAAAAACCTTGTCAAGTAAATCTCGTGGGGAGATCGGGACAAAACCTTAGCGAAGGAAAAAAGAGTGCAGTATTTTAG